TCCAACAAATCTAAAAATTCCTCTCTATTTTGTAAAAAAAATAACTTTTAAAAAATTGTCTCAGTGTATTTTAGAACTTGTTTGCCAACACTTAAACCAACCTGAGATAAATGTCCAAACATAATTCAAAACCCCAAATGAGAGTAATAATTTATTCATTTGTTTATCTATCAATTTATCTATTTATTATATAAAATGACAACAGCAATTAAGTAATGACCATTTAAATAAAGCTATCCGAATGTTTGTTTGCAAGCAGGTACGACGAGCAATTTCTGCAGCTATGCCATGGATGTCTTTGTTTACGCGCTCGCTGGATACGGTCGATGGATATATTGAGCATATTATTCATGTTTTGTTGTTCGTCCATCCATTTTTGGCCATATACTCACGTAAAACGCTGGAACGTGTATGTGAAGTTATTTAATGAAAGTGAAATGGTGGTTTTTTTGTTTGGAAATGTAGTTTTTAATACAAAATATGTATTATTAAAAATGAAAATTGGATAAAAATATTCGCAGAAAAAATAGATCTTGCTAATTCCAAAAATACACTTTTGAGCTATGCTGACATTAGAGTTAATGAGCGATAAAGCTATTCCTTCAGCTATACCCCACAAAAGGTCAAGGCTTGGGAGAAATTTATTGGTATAGCAAATGCGAAGCGTTGAGGAAACCGTAGCCTAAATTAAAATATTGTGTAGTTTTTCCACTGTTAACCTGATATAATAGAAAAGCGTTGTGAGTATTATTAAAATAATATTTGAATCTGAACCGATTTCTATATAATTTGCCAATTCTATTTTTGTAGCAAACTACGTTACTCATTCCAATTTCTGTTTAAATCTGACATACATTTGTGTTTCGTGCATCAAATGTATGAAATCGGCCGAAAATATATATGAGAGCTATATCTAAATCTGAAACGATTTCAATATAGTTTCACAAATATATTGTAAGACCACTTACCATCACACTTTCTAAATTTCATTTAAATTTGACACATAGCGAGTTTTTGATACATCAAATATACGAAATCCGCCGAAAATATGTATTGGAGCTATATCCAAATATCAACCGACTTTAATATAATTTGACAAATTTTTTTCTGTACCAAATTTCGTCATTCATTCCGGATTTTATTGGAATTAGACATACAAATCGTGTTTGGTGCATCAAAAATATGAAATCGGCCGAAAATATATATGGGAGCTATATACAAATCTAAACCGAATTCAATATAATTCGGCTAATTTTGCTTCTAAGCCAAATTCCGTCACTCATTCCGAAATTCATTGAAATCGGATATACATATCTTGTTTGGTGCATCAAAAATATGAAATCGCCCGAAAATATACATAGGAGCTATATCCGAATCTGAAGCGATTTTATACAACTTGACAAGAATTTTTTTTATACCAAATTCCGTTGCACATTCCAACTTTAAAAACTGTATATGGAAGCAATCAGTAGATATGTGAATGCAAAAAACTAAGTTTTCTGGTGGTACTTTCGATTATGATGCTTTATCTCCAGTTACAAGTGGAATTTAAAAATTTTATATAGCCTATGTTACATTCATGCGATGCTGTTTAGCTGTTTTTGAGTCTATTTATTACAAACAAACAAACAATCGAACGAACAAACATTTTCCTCTTTTATAGATATAGATTTTGTACCATTTTGTTCTTTATTAGAATGTATTTCCAAATCCACCTCCATATACTCCACCACACAAAACGTGATCCTAATAACAAATTTTTGATTTCCGACTCTATTCCTCCGATTCTTTACTTTTTAGTACATATATCCATATAAAACAAAAACTTCCAAATCCCAACCCTAACCACCAATGCCAAATTTCAGATTTCAAGAAATATCAATACCAAATTAGGTACAACTTAATACCAAGTGATAACCCCTATATACCTACATTGAACTAGAGGCAAAATTGCACGTTTCTATTTTCACCCGTTTCGATTGGGCTTTGAAACAGTAAGTCATTCACTAAAATATCTAAAAAAACGTTTCGAAATTATTGCACTAAAATGTGAATAATCACCACAGGGTGAGATAAAAAAACTGCAACAAAGTCAACCGCCATAATTTTTAAATTTTTTTTTAATTTTATTGAATGAAAGCAAAAAAATGTCGGAAATAGCATCACATTTTAAAATAAGTTTAGATTTGTTCGAATTGGTCACTTTTGACACGAATTATGGCCTTCAAACGGCCAATGACCGTTGCTCTGAGGTATCTTGACCCATTCCCGGCGAAGCGCTTGCTTGAAGTGATCGACATTTTGGTATTTTTCAGTGCCAAAATACAGTGCTTTCCAAAATACTCCAGACACAATAGTCCAACGGATTGGTATCCGGAGATTTTGGTGACCATTGTGCGCTGGAAATGAAGCGAAGAACTTCATTTTGTAATCATTCTTGGGTGGCGCGTGCTGAGTCCTGTTGGATTGTTCAAGGTCTGCGGTTTGAGTGCCCAAGGCTTCAATACACCCTTCAGAATATTTTCGTGACAATATTCGGTATTTATTCTGATGCCACGGTCGATTAATACGAGCGGAGAGCGACCATTGGCTGTTATGGCGGCCCTCACCATCTCCAAGGCCGGCGCTTGAGTTCTGGTGGCCAACCGACTCTTTGGCAAGTAAACACGATCATTGTGTTTGTTTACAAACTGCTGGTCAACGAATGTTTTCTCATCGGAGAAAACCAAATTCGACAGTTCATCTCTTTCGGTCAAGCGAAGCAACTCTTTGGCTCTTTTGAATCCATTTTCTCTGTAATGCGGTGTAAGTTTTTGCACTTTTGGAATGTCAATGGCTTTACCCCGAGCTCATTTTTCAATCTTTACCGAATGGAATATTGCGATAGGTTCAGCTCATGAGCCATTTTTCGGCCACAGCGACGCGGGTTTCGGGATTTGCTTTTTTACTTTTCGAACCATTTCCGCTGATGTTGCTGTTTTCTTCCGTCCACTTCCTTGACGTCGGGCAACCCTACCAGTATCAAGGTAACGAGCGATGGTACGAGACACAAAACATTTATTATCATTTAAATGCTGGAGTGCTCTAACGAAATATAGGAAAGAGGAAATTCTCACCAAACTGCTCTTGTACGCTTGTAAACAATATAATAAGCTGTCACTGGAATAATTTTAACAGCTGTCGGACGAGTGACTTCAAATGTATATTTTGTCTACAGGTCTTTTGGTATTGAAAATGGGCCATGTAGGGCCACATTTTGGTATAGCCTCCAAATAACGGTACCTCTATATTTTTGGTATTTTGGTAATTTAAGTGACATTATTCACCGCAATTGGATTTTTTAAATTTGGTATTTGTAGTTCGTAATGGACACTACAGCCTATAACAGAAAATTGTCTGTGCAGGTCCACGTTTTCGTATAGCCCCCACATAATGGTACCTGCATACATATTAGGTAATTTGATGATTTTAGTTACATTATTCACCGATTTAATTTCAAGTTTCGCATTTGAACATTGTAATGGCTTATGACAAAAATTACCTATGCAGATCCACGTCGTCGTATATAACGACTACATTCGGATTTTAATAGAATTTTTAACGGATTTTATTTATTTGAAAATTGCCAACTTCGTTCCAAATGGTGGAGGGTATTCGGAGTGACCGAACTTTCATTTTTTTTATTTGTTATAATTACAAGATCTGGCATGTAGATGGAATATATCGGTCCACTCTTTCTGATATATCCCTCACAAAGGACCAATATTTTAAACAATTTAAACTCTTATAAAATGCGAAATGAGTATGCCATTCTTATATATATAAATCCAAGATCTGTTGTGAATAGGGAATAAATCGGCTCACAATGCGAAGCAAATCCGCGATGTTCATGGATTCCTGTCCACTTCTTCTGGTTAATCTTTTGACTAAAAATTATATTTATAGACCTGTATATAAGTATTCGATATCAGCAAATTTTTCACATCTCAATATTTTTATAAAAATTAAATGAAGTGGAATAAATCGATCCACTGTACCTGCTACATTTTAGTAATTTGAATTCTTAGTAAGAAGAAACCAGGTATCAATATAGGCCTCAAATGAAGATATCATCCGATTTAAGTTTTTCCGGGCTACTGGACACATTTTTCATTTGATTTTGGTTTTTATTTGGCATCTTGGTCTCTTAGGGGGTAGAAAACCTCTTCGCAGAAATTTTTCAATGTTTTCATATAAAGATCCTTCATGATTTGACCTATTTCGAGGGTATTGAACACATTTTCCAATCGATGTTGCTAAAAATTTGTATTAAAGCTACTTGGGGGGTTTTTACAGAATCTTAATAATTAATTTCAACATAGGTTTTTTTGGTATAGTCTCCATATAACGACTCCTTCCTTCCTTCACTAAATATTCAAATGTTCATGTATCGACATAGCTGAAAGTTTTGTGCAATTTTAAGTTTATAACAAAATTTCCATTTGCATATTTTGTGTAATAACTTAAATAAATCACAACAAATGAAATGGTATATTCAATTCAATTCACCTAAAAATATTGCTTAAAATTCCGCCATAGCCCTTTTTTAATTTATTTTGTAATAAATCATTAACATACATCGTATCAATACTTTTCTATTGGAATAACATTAGAAAATAAAATAAATTGTCGAATTGAATGCATAAATTAAGACATCAACGAATTGGTCTTGGGTGGGGTATATCAAAATTGTCTCGTGCCACAAATTGCCCGGCCCTCATTAACAGAATATTAATTTAAACGAAAATTAGTTAATTTCTAGGCTTACCAAAACTATTTCCTAAGCCGTACTTCTTCCTCGATTTTTGTGTTTTTTTTTTTTTATTTTTGTTTTTCTTATTTAAAATAATTTGACAACGCATGTCGCTATTTAACTCACACCTCACGTCTCAAATTTGGTAATTTTTCTTACTTTACCCGACAATGTCTCAATTGATTTCGAGTAGGTAAACTAAAGCGAAATTAATTTTTACTATATAAGCATTTACCGTTACCTTAAATAGACATAAGAGAATTACACCTCCATCAAACCACAGTTCCAAATCTGCAAACCAAAAAAAAAAAACACATCAAAATGTTCAAATTCGTAAGTGGAGTATTATTCTGTTTTTGGAGATTTTAAATTAAATAGTTTATTGTCTTTGTTGAAGGTCATTGTCTTTGCTGCTTGTTTGGCTTACGCTAGTGCCGGTGTTTTGGCTCCAACTGCCTTGGCTGCCGCTCCCGCTGTTGCCTATGCCAATACTCCTTTGTATGCTGCCGGTGGTAGCAGCCAGGTGGATGTTCGTCACAACTACGATGGTACTTTGTCTTCGTACACCACCACTCCCTTTGGTTATGCTGGTCCCTACTCCAGCCGTTATGTAGCTGGCCCAGTTGCTGCTCCCGCTGCCTTTGCTGCCCCTGCTAAGGTTGTCGCTCCAGCTGCCTATGCTGCCGCCCCAGCTGCCTATGCTGCTCCCGCTGCCTTTGCTGCTCCCGCTAAGGTTGTAGCTCCCTATGCTGCTCCTTATGCCACTCCCTTCGCTGCTCAATATGCCGCCCCATTCGCTGCTCCTTATGCCACCTATGGTGCTGCACCTCTGGCTGCTTCATATGCTGCCCCCGCCACCGTTGTAGCTTAAGAATCTCATTTCGAGCCGAATAATTGTTAAAAATGTAAATAGTTATTTAAAATTGTTAAAGAGTTGTTAAAAAATATAATTGTTTGTACATAAATGTCATGCTTTTATTTGGCACTTCTTTCGCAATAGACCGATGCGAATTTTCTGAAAAAGTCCACGATTTAACATTCATTGGCTAAATATTTTTAATCGACACCTTTCTCAATATTACGATTTTTGGTCTTTAAAAATATTGGTTTTAAATTGGTTTTTCAATCACTAGATTTGTTTTAATACTCGTCTTAAAATCCTAAAATTTCAGATTTTTTTAATTATTAATTTTTAATTTAATTAATTTTAATTTTTTATTTAAAGATTCATTATGCTATATCCTTAGCACTTTTTTTTAAATTCATTGAAAAATATTAGATCTTTTGAACATATATATTAAAGAATCCGCAATTTTCTATCCTTGCAAGTCCTTTTTACCGTGTATCAAATCCTTAAAAAAAATTATTTAAATCATGTTCAATATAAAATCCCTTAAATACCTTTTAAAAAATTCACGCTTTTAGATCCCTGGAGTGCAGTTACGTATTTACCAACGCGTTTTTCGAAATCATAATTTTTACGAAAGCTCTAAAATGGTTCTATATTTCTTAAATGGTCGCAATGTAAAGTTGCAGAGTAAGTTTGATATATAAAGGTTTGCGAACTGTACTATATGGTACTAAAATTGGAGCAGTGGTGGTAGATTTGTAATAAAGAGGTGGTTTTGGAAATGCGTCCTATGTTTATGTGAAAAGTACTAAATTTGGTATTGGGTAAAGGGTTGGGGCTGAAATCCCCAAATATATTAAATATTGATATTATGGTACCTCTTGATATGTGAAATTAATATATAGAGGTGATCTTGGAAATGTGTACTATAATGAAACGAAAATTTAGTAAGTAGTATATAGATAAGAAGGAATTGATCTAAAATCCGGAAATTTGTAATAGAAGTATGTCGCTGTTGGTGTCTGTTGTGATTGTGTATGGCATGTGTAATGTGTACTATAATTGTTCGGAAAATACTAAGTCGTAAAAAATGAAGGGATATCGCAGGAATTCCGTTATTTGAAATGGATGTTACTGTTGTTATCTGATTGAAGGGGCTGGTATTGAATATGCGTACTAAATTTGGTAATGGGTGAAATAAAAGTGTTGAAATCTTTAAATTATGAAATTTTATTGTTAATACTTTTTTGGTATCTGGTATTGAGAACTTGTGGTGGTTTTGCAAATGCGAACTATAATTGTTCTAGCGATGCTAAATGGTACTAATATTGGATCGCTCGTGGTGTCTAGATTTAAAATTTCATATCGAAAAAAAAAAATATTTTTTAAAAAATCCACGTTTATTGATGTAAAAGTCCTTTTAAGAAATAGTTTTTTTTACAAAATCGTTTATAGGTGAGAAGGTCCTTTAAAAAAATATTTTTTTAATATTTGCAGGTAAGAAGATCCTTTAAAAAATATGTTTTGTTGATGTGAAAGTCCTATACTTTTTTTAAAACCAAGTTCATTGATGTGAAGATAGTTTAAAAAAAGTATTTGTTTTAAATACACGTTTATTGATGAGAAGGTCCTTTAAAAAATATTGTTTTTACAAAATCAAAGTTTATAGCTGAAGAGGTCCTTTAAAAAAATATTTTTAAATATACCCGTTTATTGATGTAAAGGTCCTTTAAAGAAATATTATTTTTACAAAATATTGGTGGGAAGGTCCTTTAAAAGATATTTATATTGATGCGGAGGTCTCTAAAAAAAAAATATTTTTTTAAATATCCCCGTTTATTGATGTGAAGGTCTTCAGAACCATATTCTTAATAAAGACCACATTCATTGATCTGAAGGTCCTTTAAAACAACTTTTTTTTGATGTGAATGTCCTTTAAAAGAAGGAATTTGTTGAAAAATCGAAGTTTATTGATAAGACGGTCCTTTAAAAAATATTTAAAAAAATCCCACTTTTTTATATTGGAGGGTTCTTAAAATAAATATGTTTTTTAAATCGATTGAAGGTCCTTGGAAAGATATTTTCGAGTGTTACCAAATCTAAAATCGTGAATTTTTTTCAAGCACTACCAGATCTATAGTCGTGGCATTTGTTTAAGACTATCAAAGGTATAATAGTCGTTTCTTAAAAATTAATGTTCAAGGCCCAATAGAGCTATAATAACTGTGCATTTTTTAAATTATATTACAAGGACTGTTATACTAAATTGTGGATTTTCTAAAATTATTTTCAAGAATTTGTGAGACTTTTTTATTTTACTATTTATATTAATTATTTAAATTATTTTTCAAATTCTTCCAAAGTAGCAATCGTGGATTAAACAATTAAAATAGTGTCAGCCGGTTTTGCCGACAGATGTGTACCCTCAGCCTATGTTCGATTACTTAAATATATTTTGAAATGTGTTAAAATCGTTAAAACAGTCGCTGAATGGGCTAATATTGTCCATTTCGTATCGGACCTAAATAAATATGATATAAATACTGTCACGTGCCAGGTTTGAACTATACCGACTACTTCCTTCACTTTGTATGAGATATTTGATAATTTTTAGAAAATGTTAAAATGTGCGTGAGTTTCCTGTCGACTGAAGTATTCCATTTCCATACTTCATCTTATGCAGATACAAATATTGGTAAAGGTAAAATAACAACTAAATCGAACATTTATATCCAATTTTATTGAGAGAAATATTTAGATATAGAAAGATGTAAAGAATAGCTGACTTGTTTCACAAGTTATGACAGAAAAAAGTATTGAAAATTGTGACCTTTTGTAGGTGAGGTACTAGAAGGGGTTTCCAGATATAATCAACAGATCTTGTGTAAGCAAAAATATTTGTATAGTGAAATTTAAATAAAGAGAAGGAGTGGGCCGATATATCCTATCTTAATATCAGACCTAGGGTTAATAAAAGTATTGGTATGTGTGAAATTTGAAGACAATCGGACTCATATATCACATTTTATAAGAGTTATAATTATTAAAAATTTTAACCCTTTGTGCAGGAGGTACCAAAAGGAGTGGACCGATATTATCCATTTTCGCACCTGACCTAGCACTAATGCAAATACTAGGATTTGCAAAGTTGGAACAAAATCAGATCATCCTTTCTCTTTCTGTGCAGAAAATATATATTTTTTATACCCTCAGCCATATGGCTACAGAGGGTATATATCATTTGATACGGTCAAAACGTGCCTAGTCGAAATAACGGTTTTAGACCCTAGGTCTCTTTGGACCAAATCCGTTTCAGAAAATTTGGAGTCGATCTAGCGATGTCCGTCCGCCTGTCTGTCTGTCTGGCTGGCTGGCTGGTGCGCACGATAACTCTCGAAGGGAGTATCCGATTTGGTCCAAACTTGGTACATCGCAATATTTTTGTCAAACTTAGATCGAGTTCGGAGATGGGCAATATCGGTCCACTCCTTCTGGTACCTCCCACACAAAATGTCCAAAATTTCAAAGAAAATAATTTATTGCACAGAAAGAGAAAGGATAATCCGATTTTCCTCGAACTTTGCGAATCCTAATATTTTCATCAGTTCTAGTTCAGGTGCGAAAATGGACAATATCGGTCCACTCCATCCATGCAAGACTATCAGTGCTATAATCATGAATGTTTTGAGCATTATTTTTCAAGTCCCATAAGAGCAATAATTTTGGGTTTTTTGAAATTATCTTTCAAAGGTTATCAAAGTTCTTATGGTAGTTTTGTTAAAGATATTTTTCAAAGTTTCTAAGCTCATAATTGAGATTTTTTTAAAATTTTTTAAGACTATTTTTCATGTACTGTCGGAACTATAATTGCTAATTTTGTAAAACATATTTTGCAACAATTACAAAAGCTAAAATCGTGAATTTTTTCATAATATTTTTCGGAGCATTTTCAATAGGATTTTTTTCAGCTACCATATCTATAATTGCATATGCTTTGTTTTTTTTTTTTTTTTTCTCGGAGATATAACTTTATAAAATATGAACCCTTCCATACAAAATATATATAAAAAATTAAAACTAAATTACTTTCTCTGTTGTGTCTGTGTGAAATAGCCGTAAGATGACATTGAACTGTATTTAAATTGCATTAAATGTATTTTTAGATTGCAATAGTTTGAGTGCTCCATTTTATTGCCAGTATGCATTGTTTTCAATTGAATTAAAGGTCATTGAATGATGCAAACAAAGTACTGCATTAGATTAAACAAAAAAAATCCAATGCATTGAACAAGCACGGAGACTCCTCTTCCGATACCAATAGTAACAAAAAATGGTTCACTTTCTATTTACAATGCAGATCACGTACTGCACGTGGTAATTTGGCTTCAATTGTCCAAATTGTATGCACGCATATGACCACAAATGGTCTTCACAATTTGAATTTACTATAAAAGCTTAAAACATGACCCTAAATAGACATAGCACATTTACACCTACGACTGCAAACATCCCCTCCAAAAAAAACCATTTAAAATGTTCAAATTTGTGAGTTAATTCAATTCCTTGTGTGATTTTTTTCCTAAATATTATGTTATTTTTTCAAGGTCATTGTCTTTGCTGCTTGCTTGGCTTACGCCAGCGCCGGTGTCTTGGCCCCAACTGCCTTGGCTACTGCTCCCGCTGTAGCTTATGCCAATGCTCCTTTGTATGCTGCCGGTGGTAGCAGCCAGATCGATGTTCGTCACAACTACGACGGTACCTTGTCCTCATACACCACCACTCCCTTCGGTTATGCTGGTCCCTACTCCAGCCGTTATGTAGCTGGTCCAGTTGCTGCTCCCGCTGCCTTTGCTGCCCCTGCCAAGGTTGTTGCCGCCCCAGCCGCCTTTGCTGCTCCAGCTAAATTTGTTGGCGCCGCCGGTGTTGTAGCTCCCTATGCTACCCCCTATGCCACCCCCTATGCTGCTCCATTCGCTGCTCCTTATGCCGCCTATCCCGCCGGTGTTGCTGCCGCTTATGCTGCCCCAGCTGTTGCCGCCCCCGCCCATGTTGTAGCTTAAGTGTTTGCAAGGAGAATTGTTTTGTAAATAGTCGATTGTTAATTATTTAAATGATGTTATATTGTTGAATAAATTTGTTAAAATATTTAAAATTAATGTAGTTTTAATATTGATTTGGTTATTCATTTTTAATTGCAAAATTTAGAAAACACTGGGCTATCTTCGGTCAGGAAATAATTTGAATACCTTCCATAATGAAGTATTCTTAGCACCTGGACATGTTTTTAATGGCATAGTTTCATGGCTTTTCCATCTACTCTCAGCCATATGGCTACATAGGGTATTTGGTATGAACCAGGCGTGCGTATTGAAGGTAGTAGTTTCAGAACCTAGGTCTCTTTAGACAAAATCCATTTCCGGACATTTGAAGTCGATTTAGTTTTGTCCGTCTGTCTGTCTGCCTGGTGCTCACTATAACTCTCAAAAGAAGTATCTTATTCGGAGCAAATTTTTAAAGATGGTAATATTATTATTAAACATCATATCGACTTTGAAGATGGAACTAAAAATAGGAATTAAAAAAAATATTACAAAATATAAAATCCAATATTGTAAGTCAAATTGAAAAAAAAACTCATGCGATACACATACAGGCTGAGATAAAAAAACTGCAACAAAGTCAAACACCATAATTTTTACATTTTTTTTATTTTTTATTGAATGAAAGCATAAAATGTCGGCAATGGCATCAAATTTTTGAATAAGTTTAGATTTGTACGAATTGGTCAACTTTGGCACGAATTATGGCCTTCAAAGGCCAATGAAACCATCACACGCTGCCCGAATGTTGCTCTGCGGTATTTTGGCCCATCCCCGGCGAAGCACTTGCTTGAGGTGATCGACACTTTGGTATTTTTTAGTGCCAACCTTGCTTTCCAAAATACCCCAAACACAATAGTCCAACGGATTGGTATCCGGAGATTTTGGTGGCCATTGTGCGCTGGATATGAAGCGAGGTACCTCATTTTGTAGCCATTCTTGGGTGGCGCGTGCTGAGTGCGATGGTCCTGAGTGCTGTTGGAATGTCCAAGATCTGCGGCCAAGATGTTTGCGTGCCCAAGGCTTTAATACACCCCCAGAATATTTTCGGGATAACTTTCGACATTTATTCTGATGCCACGGTCGATTAATGCGAGCGGAGAGTGACCATCGGCTGTTGTGGCGGCCCACACCATCACCATGGGCGGCGGCGCTTAAGTTCTGTTGGCCAACCGAAGGTGCACATTTTCTGCTGACCTCTTTGGCAAGTAAACACGATCATTTTGTTTGTTTACAAACTGCTGGACAACAAATGTTTTCTCACCAGTTCACCACTTTCGGCCAAGTGAAGCAACTCTTTATCTCTTTTAGGTCTATTTTCTTTCTGTTGCGGTGTGAGTTCTTGCACTTTTGGAATCTAACCCGAGCTCATTTTTCAATATTTGCGGATGGAATATTGCGATATGTTCAGCTCACGAGCCATTTTTCGGCCACTGCGACGCGGATTTCGATCAAGTCACTTCTTTACTTTTCAAACCATTTCTGCTGATGTTGCTGTTTTCTTCCGTCCACTTCTTTGACGTTGGGCTACGCTACCAGTATCACGGTAACGATCAATGGTACGAGACACAAAAGATTTATTCACATTTAGATGGTGGAGTGCTCTTACGATAGCCACTTGAAGATTTCCAGCAAAATATAAAGGCTATCACGCTTGAATTCCATCACGAATAACTTTTTTTCTGGAAAGTTCTCATCAAAATGCTTTTGTACGCTTGTAAACAGTATAGTGGCTTAGAAATGACAACAGTCTGAAGTTGGTTGCAGTTTTTTCATCTCACCCTGTATATGTGAAATTTTGGATATCAATATTAATGTAAGGGTCAGAAGGAACCTTCTCGTCCATTTACGATTTCGCTGGAATTAAAAATATTCGCTGTTTAATGGAAATTTTCGTATTTTTACACCCTATACTACTTAGTGGTAAGGGTATTATGTCTTTGTGCATTCGTTTGTAACATGGAGAAAGAAAACGAGGTAAACCCAGAGTCACGTTAAAAGATCCTCATAAAATCACTTTCTGTGTCAATTTATACATGTCAGTTCGTCCGTCTGTTCATGTATTTTTGTGCAAAAAAATACAGGTTGCATTTATTATACGATTGAAATCAAATTTTCCAAATAATATTTGTTTGGCCTAAGGACGAACCCTAATGAAATTGGTTATAATTGGATCGAATTGGGATATAGCTCCCAAATATATATTCAACCGATTTCGAGTTAATTGTGCACCAAATTGCCAATATCAGTGCAAATGACCTGAATTTTGGCACAACCAACCGGAATCAGTCCAGAAGTAAGTACATCAAATGAAAATCGGTTCAGATGTAGCTATAGCCCCAAAAAATATATAGTTCATACGATTTGGCGTTTAAGACCCTCACATTCGTAATCTGCACCCCAGAAATATCTCTGCAAATTGTATCAAGATCCGTTCAGATTTGAATATAGCTCCCATATATATCTTCAATCGATTTCGTATTAAATGTGCACAAAATGTCCAACATCAGTCCAAATTACCTGAATTTTGGTACATCCGACCGAATTCAGTCTAGAAGCAACTACGTGAAATTTGGGGAAAATTCGTTCAGACATAGCTCCCATATATATGTTTCATCCAATTTAGGGTTTAAGTCTCCCTCATGCATAATATGCACTACACATCAATGATCTTTGGTACCAGAATCAGATACAGCTCAGAACTAACTACTTCAAATTTTGTCAAGATTGGTGTAGATTGGAATATGGCTAAACATATATTTCTTTATCCGATTTCAGGTTTATTGTGTACCAAATGCCTAAAATCAACACAACTGGGCTTAATTTTGGCACTTCTGACGGAATTTGCCCTAAAATCAAGTGCTTAAAATTTTATCGAAATCGGTTCAGATTTATATATAGCTTCGATATACATCTTCATCCAATTTTACGGTTATTCCTTACCATATATGTAATATCAGGCCAAATTTATATATTATTGCTTGAATAAATATTTTTTAATACAATTCTTATCGAAGTCATATCATGCACTATACAGCAATAAGATTTGGTTCATATTTGGCATGATCTACTTCACATAAATTCCCAATATTAACCTTTTTGTTGCGGGAGCTTTAGTAAATATGTATATAGTGGTGTAGGTTACCATATTGTCGGCATCGCTCGAAGTTTAACCCTTCCTTAATGGTTTAATATCTGTGTTTTATTTAAAATTTAAAAATTGCCTCCTAGTTAAGACTGGACATTTTGTGTCGATTCAACTGAATTTGGAAGTTTTCCACTTATCTTATTGGTATAAACGGTAACTATGGAACGAATTTTTGGATTTCTAAGCATAAAAATATTGACTAACTACAAAATGTAATTCTTGCAATATCGCGGAGGGCTTGGCTAGTTTCGGATACAAACAAGAAGTACAAAATTGTATTTTAATTTACAAACAATTTAATATATCATCAATATCAGACCATTTACATGTCATTACAATTTCCATCACGTTCGATTCGAAGTAAGGGTTTGCATATGTTCAAATGAATATGCAAATGATCCCATAGCCAAAAATGTATTATAAAAGTGCCCACAAGCACCCAAAATAGACATAACCCAGTTACGCATTCAACTGTTAACAGTTCCCTCAAAATCACTTAATCATCATGTTCAAATTTGTAAGTCCAGCGGTAGTTTGTAATTCATCAAGTATGAATCTGAAGTAACTATTTTATTTTCTTATTTCAAGGTCATTGTCTTTGCCGCCTGTTTGGCTTATGCCAGCGCCGGTGTTTTGGCTCCCACAGCTTTGGCTGCCGCTCCGGCTGTAGCCTATGCCAATGCTCCTCTGTATGCTGCCGGTGGTAGTAGCCAGGTGGATGTTCGTCACAACTACGACGGTACCCTGTCCTCATACACCACCACTCCCTTCGGTTATGCCGGTCCCTACTCCAGCCGTTATGTAGCTGGTGCAGTTGCTGCTCCCGCTGCTTTTGCTGCCCCCGCTAAGGTTGTTGCCGCCCCAGCTGCTTATGCCGCCGCACCAGCTGCCTATGCTGCCGCCCCAGCTGCCTTTGCTGCTCCCGCTAAGGTTGTAGCTCCCTATGCTGCTCCTTATGCCACTCCCTTCGCTGCTCAATATGCTGCCCCATTCGCTGCTCCTTATGCCACCTATGGTGGTGCCCCTCTGGCTGCTTCATATGCTGCCCCCGCCACCGTTGTAGCTTAAGTCTCTTATTTCGAACCGAATAATTGTTAAAAATGTAAATAGTTATTTAAAATTGTTAAAGAGTTGGTAAAAAATATAATTGTTTGTACATAAATTCCACGCTTTTATTTGACTCCTCTTTCGCAATAGACCATTGCAAATTTGCTGAAAAAATCAACGATTTAACATTCATTGGGAAAATCTTTTTGACCATCGACTTATTTTTAAAGTCACAATTTTTAGTTCCTTAAAAATGTTTATTAAAAACCGATATTTAATCAGTGCCCAGCGAGCCCTAGCAATGATTTTTAAAATAAAAAAACAAGCAAAAAAAATAGGTTCGGCTGGCCCGAACTTTTAATACCCTCTACCTTTGAGTACAAATAAAAATATACAAAAGTAGCTGAATTCAAACGTGTTCCACTATAAACTATAAATACCAATAAGACCGTTTGGATAATGCTGTTAATCTTTTCAAAGAAACCATAAAGAGGATGAGTCCGTTATATGGGGGCCATACCATAACGGGAACCTCCATAAACAATTTCATACTTCAAGGATTGTCCTCTACCAAATCTTCTAAAATACCAAATTTGAAACAATTTCGTAAGTAAATGTGACTAGGATTATCAAAATACTGTACATACATGGACCTAAATATTCAATGTTCGACGTCCTGAGCCACTAAGACTTACAAATACCAATTTTTAGACAAATCCATGGAAAAATGTGGCAAAACACATCAAACAACCAAATATCGGGAGGTAGAGATATTCGGTATTTTGATGATTTGCGCCACATTTTCCCACGGATTTGTGTAAATATTGGTATTTGTAGGTCATAATAAGTTCTAGCTCGGGTACCGAAACATTGTATGTATAGGTCCACGATTTTGTATAGCCCCCGATATATCTCTACCTCCCGATATTTGGTTGTTTGATGAGTTTTGCCACATAAGTCGATGATCAAAAAGATTTTGGCAATTAATATTAAATCGTAGATTTCTTTCAGAATATTCGCATCGGTCAATTGCGAAAATGGTCCAAAATAAAAGCATGAAACTTATATACAAACAATTATATTTGTTTAACTACTCATCACAAATTATAAATAACTATTTACATTTTTAACAATTATTCGGTTCGAAATGAGATTCTTAAGCTACAACGGTGGCGGGAGCGGCATATGAAGCAGCAACAGGGGCAGCACCATAGGTGGCATAAGGTGCGGCAAATGGGGCGGCATATTGAGCAGCGAAGGGAGTGGCATAAGGAGCAGCATAGGGAGCAACAACCTTAGCGGGAGCAGCAAAGGCAGCTGGGGCGGCAGCATAGGCAGCTGGTGCGGCAGCATAGGCAGCATAGGCAGCTGGTGCGGCGGCATAGGCAGCTGGAGCTACAACCTTAGCGGGGGCAGCAAAAGCAGCGGGAGCAGCAACTGCACCAGCTACATAACGGCTGGAGTAGGGACCGGCATAACCGAAGGGAGTGGTGGTGTAAGAGGACAGGGTACCGTCGTAGTTGTGGCGAACATCCACCTGGCTGCTACCACCGGCAGCATACAGAGGAGCATTGGCATAGGCTACAGCGTGAGCGGCAGCCAAAGCTGTGGGAGCCAAAACACCGGCGCTGGCGTAAGCCAAACAGGCGGCAAAGACAATGACCTTGAAATAAATAAAAAGGAAATAAAAAAGGTTACTTCGGATTCATACTTGATGAATTACAAACTAGCGCTGGACTTACAAATTTGAACATGTTTATTAAGTGATTTTGAGGGAACTGTTTACAGTTGAATGTGTAACTGGGTTATGTCTATTTTGGGCATTTTTATAATACTTCTGTAATACTTTTTTGGCTATGGAGTCATTTGCATATTCATTTGAACATATGCAAACCCTTACTTCGGATTGAACGTGATGAAAATTGTAATGATATGTAAATGGTCTGATATTGATGTTATATTAAATTGTTGGTAAATTAAAATACAATTTTGTACTTTTTGTTTGTATCTGAAATTAGCCAAGCCCTCCGCGATATTGCAACAATTAAATATTGTAGTTAGTCAATCTTTTTATACTTAGAAATCCAAAAATTCGTTACATAGTTACCCTTTGTACCATTAAGATAGGTGAACAACTCCAGAATGCAGTTGAATTGACACAAAATGTCCTGTTCCAACTAGGACGCAATTTTTAAATTTTAAATAAAACACAGATATTAAACCAGTAAGGAAGGGTAAAACTTCGGGCGTTGACGACAATATGATAACCTACACCTCTATGCATATTTACTAAAGCTCCCGTAACAAAAAGGTTAATATTGGGAATTTATGTGAAGTAGATCATACCAAATATGAACCAAATAACATTGCTGTATGATATGACTTCGATAAGAATTGTATTAAAAATATTTATTGAAGCAATAAATATACCACATCGAGATTCACCAAATGATAAATTTAGGTTGAATATGAACAAATCTATTCAATTTGGGCTGATATTACATATATGGTGAGGAATAACCTTAAAATCGGATGAAGATTTATATTGAAGCTATATACAAATCTGAACCGATCACTATAACATTTTAAGCACTTGATTTTAGGCCGAATTCCGTCAGAAGTGCCAAAATTAAGTCCAGTTGGTTTGATTTAGGGCATTTGGTAAACAATAAACCTGAAATCGGATAAAGATATATATGTTTAGCCACATTCAAATCTAAACCGATCTTGACAAAATTTTAGGTATTTAGTTCGGAGCTGTATCTGATTCTGGTACCAAAGATCATTGTTGTGAAGTGCATACTATGCATGGGGGAGACTTAAACCCCAAATCGGATGAAACATATATGTGGGAGCTATAGCTACGTCTGAGCGAATTTTCACCAAATTTCACGTAGTTGCTTCTAGACTGAATTCGGTCGGATCTACCAAAATTCAGGTAATTTGGACTGATGTTGGCCATTTGGTGCGCATTTAATACGAAATCGGTTGAAGATATACATGGGAGCTATACTCAAATCTGAACGGATCTTGATACAATTTGCAGAGGTATTTCTGGGGTGCAGATAACGCCAAATCGTATGAACCATATATATGGGGGCTATAGCTATATCTGAACCGATTTTCATTGGATGGATGTGCCAAAATTCAGGTCATTTGGACTGATATTGGCCACCTGGTGCACAATTAATCCGAAATCGGCTGAAGATATATTTGGGAGCTATATCCCAATTTCAAACCAATTCTCACCAATTTCAATAGGGTTCCTCCTTAGGCCAAACAAATATTATTTGAAAATTTTATCTCAATCGTATAATAAATGCGACCTGCATTTTTTTTTCCCAAAAATACATGGACAGACGGACAAATAGGCATGCATAAATCGACGCAGAATGTGATTTTAATGCGATCCTTTAAAGTAACTCTGGTTCTACCTTCCTCTTTTCCTTCTCAATGTTACAAACGAATGCACAAATACATAATACTCTTACCCTTGGTGTAAGGTGTAAAAATGCGAAAAATGCCATTAAACAGCGAATATTTTTAATTGCAGCGAAATCATGAATGGACGAAAAGGTTCCTTCCGACCCTGACATTAATATTGATATCCAAGATATCACATATATAGCAAAATATATACAATCTCATATACATATATAAGGGGATGTGGTTAGACGGCTTATAACTCAAGAATAGCTGGACGAATTTTTCTGAATGACGAATTATTCAGAATGGCCGTTAAGAAGAAAAGAATAATCGCAAAAATGATGCCAATAAAAATTTGAATATTTTTCTATAATATTTTGTGTTATTTTTATATCCTACAACACAATGTGTTGGGGGTATTACAAGTTTGATTGGGCCAAAAATTATGCAACACCTCGAAATATTGGTTTCCCACATAGGAAAGTATATTTGGGTCTTCCTAGCTCGCCGAGACGAATCGATCTAGCTATGTATGACCGTCCGTCCGTCTGTTCGTCTGTCCATGTTAATTTGTAATCAAGCTACAGGTCGCAAATATGAACCGATCCTCACGAAATTGAAAATGGAGGTGGGGTTAGGGTCAGAATAGAACCCTATTGTTTTTGGAGATGATCGCACGATATTTAGGGGTTGAAATGGACCAAAAACAGAAAATTCTCCTGATTTTGCAATTGTTCTATAGGCCACAATTATGAACCAATCGACGCGAAAATTTACATAGAGTTAGATACTGGGCAGAAACCTACCAATTTTAGTTAGTGGGTAAAATAGACCCTAACTTTTATGTTAGAAAATAGGAAAATTTCCACTAAACCGCGAATATTTTTAATCCCAGCCAAATCACAAATACATTAAAAGATCACTTCTGATCATTAGAGTGATGCTAATAGCCAAGAAATCGGATATGTAGCAAAATAGGTACAATTTATATGTAAACGAATTGATCTTATTTATTCTGCTTATAAATCAAGAACCGCTGGGCCGATTTTCACAATTCACATCAATTCGGAATGGTCTCTTGCCAGAAAAGAATAAAATCTGAGAAAATCGCGGGATAACATACCAATAAAAAAGTTATATCTTTTGTTTAATTTTTTTCCATATTTGTCATATATTTTTTATCGCATGCGATTTTTTCATTTGACCTACAATTTTGAATTTTAAATTTTCTAAATTTTTACATCCCCCAACACTACGTTTTGAATTGAAGCCTATAGTTCTTAGAAAGTGCATTTAGAGATTTAAGTGGCTAAAAAAAATTAAAATTTTCTAATTTTGTAGTCGTTCTATAGGCCACAATTGAAAACTAATCGACACGGAATTTCGCATCGAAAGAGAGTTGAGGACAGAGAAGAAGTCTAGCATTTTGGATGACCATTGGATTATATTTAGCTGTAATATGGACCACAACTTTCGTGTGCAATTGTTTTGAATACTTCACAACACTACGGAGTGGGTAAATATTGGCCAAATTCTCCGGGTCAAAAACCTAAGGGTAACTGCCAGGTAGGGCTCTTTGGCATTATTTCAAAAACGAAATCTTCAAAAATGGATTTGGATATAAAGGGAATTCGAACATATTGTAGTGTTGTAGGGTATCACATGGTCGGCCCCGCACGACTATAGCCTTTGCTTACTTGTTTTTCATATATTTATTTATAGCATGATTTTTTTCAATTTGACTCAAACAGACTCCGATTTCATTCAAACTCGGCGCAAGATCTGGTGTAAAGATGGTCAACAAAGGTCAATATTTTGAACAATTATAACCCTTATAAAATGCGAAACATGTAAGACGTTGCGTATCTCAATATTCCTTTTAACCACAGATCTAGTAAATATTTCGGTCCACTCTTATAGTATTCCCAAAAAATATAATATATCTCATATAATTATGGGAAGTAGTCTATATTGGCCCAATCTGGCAACTTGTAAAATATGGTCGTCCTCGCTTGCTTGTTAAAATTTGCAAATGATTTGTTAAATTAATAATAAGACTTTATTTTATACAAAAAAAAAAACAACATTTAAATATTTTACATTCGACTATTTACAAACGAAATTGTCGTTGCAACAATTTATGCTACAACTTGAGCGGGAGCGGCAACAGCTGGGGCGGCATATGCGGCAGCAACACTGGCGGGGTAGGCGGCATAGGGAGCAGCGAATGGAGCAGCATAGGGGGTGGCATAGGGGGTAGCATAGGGAGCTACAACGCCGGCGGCGCCAACAAATTTAGCTGGAGCAGCAAAGGCGGCTGGGGCTGCGGCATAAGCAGCTGGGGCAGCAAAGGCAGCGGGAGCAGCAACCGGACCAGCTACATAACGGCTGGAATAGGGACCGGCATAATCGAAAGGAGTGGTGGTGTACGAAGACAAAGTACCGTCATAGTTGTGACGTACATCAACCTGGCTGCTACCACCGGCTGCATACAACGGAGCATTGGCATAGGCAACAGCGGGAGCGGCAGCCAAGGCAGTTGGAGCCAAAACACCGGCGCTGGCGTAAGCCAAACAGGCAGCAAAGACAATGACCTTGAAATGTACAAAACAAAACACAGTTATTTGGCATTTGATATAAATGATCGACACCAAAAATAGAGTAAAACTTACAAATTTGAACATTTTGGCAATTGTGGGATTGATGATGGAACTGTTTACAAATGAATGTGTAAATGGTTTATGTCTGTTTTGATTGCTCATCCACGCTTTTATAATAAAATATTTTTTTCGGCTATTTGGGTAGACTACGCGGAGTCGTGGGAATGCATTTTGAATAAATGCAAACCATTACTCCAGATTTGACGCGATATGCATTGTAATTAGGAGGTGAGCGTAATGTTGGTAAATGAAACCAAAGTAAATTTAGCATAATGTTAAAATTCAAACATTACATTGTTGCGGCCAAGCAGTAATTCAAACAAACTTCTTTTAGAGGGGATGGGTGTGTGCATTCTCGATATAGTGTTAGCAGAATGTGCAAAATTTGTGGGAAATCGAAGAGTTATTTCACATGTTTAAAGATTCCTGAGGTGTCGATTTTCGCACATGCAATACCCTTGGAAGATATAACAATATTGAATATTTTGAAATTTTACGTTTATGAGGAAAGTACAATAAGGAGATGGGTTCTGTGGGTTTAAGAGTGAGAATTGATGACCATTTCTTAGATTGATCTTAAAGGGATTTTTAGTAGCTTACCTTTTCCTTGTTATATCCTCCATTATAAAATGGAGTATTTAGCCATGCCAACTCTAAATTATTTTCTAGTCACAAAAAAAGTTTGATACATGTCCAAAGTTTTGTGAAG